TAAAGGGTACCTGTGCAGAAAGAGTTATTGCAACTGTCTTTAAAATTTGTTCCAAAAATAAAACTAGTGGATGAAATTGTTTGAAATTTGACAAGAACTTTCCTAAAAGTATGTAAAAATATTTAATTTTGATTGTTTATGCTATTTCTAATAAAAATTCGTTATTCAATGTAGTTAATTGCTCTTGGACTCTAAATAGTTCACCTGCAAGGTGATTTTCATGTTAAGTATATAAATATTATTTTTATCTTACAGTTTTCATATTTCACTTGCATAATTTCTAGAACCTCCTGAATGAATATAAAAGTTTTTAAAGTAAATGTTTATATTTTATCTCCCATTTTCTCAACGACATCACTAACTCTAGCTATTATCATCAACATACAGTGAGATGAAATGTTTAATACTAAGAAGTAGAAATAATGTGTAAATACCTTTTAACTCTTCATTGAATAATCTAAAAATATCTTCTTTGGGTCACTTTTTACTTTGGGTTAACTTTTCACATATAGTTAATTTTAATATTTTATTTTCCTCGCCATGGGCAATATAATGGTATCATCGGCAGAGAGAGTTTAGACTTCAGCAAGTTTTTACACTGGCTTAGTTGGGTAACACTTGTGTAGTTATGTGAACCTAAAATGTATATGTTTTGCTAACTTTTTTTAACTTAACATTCATTTTACTTTTTTTAACTCATAGATGCCAGAGGTAGGGAGGGCCACAAGATATTTTTACAAAAAGTTGTCTGTGAATTTGTGGAATTACAGCTTTACTCAGTTTGGCTACTCTGAGTGTAATGAGACATTTATATTAAGATTAATATTGTTTTTTTTTGTTTTTTTCATTTTAAATTTTTTATCTTTCAGTTGCATAATCTCTAGAACTTTCTAAATGACTATAAAAATTGTTTTTGTTTGAGTATAAAAGTTCATATCTGTCTGTTATTTTCTCTAAACTAACACTGAATTTTCAAATTTTACTTCATTGTGTAACTTGTGTAAGAAAAAGAAGCTCAATGATAAATAGATTGTATGAAAGAAAATAATCCTAGGTTTCAGTGATATATGTATGAATTTGACAATTTTAGAAATAAGAAAATAATAAATAAAACATTAAATTTTATAGTTCTTGATGTAATCAACTTCAAAATTTCACCATTTTCAAACTATTTTAGCTACAAATTAGCTTAAATTGTTGTAAGTTACTCTACACATTTTCATCTTTGTATTATATATTAACAAACTATCTCTGCACAGATGGGAAATATATTTATTTCCAATCTGAATAAAAATTCCAATAGGGGGCTACAAATCAACAATTAGGGATAAAGTTTCTTGTTTTTTGTTGTTTTTTTATTTCACCCAAAGCAAATGTTAAAATTTATGTCAAGAGAAAATTTAACATTTCAGTGTCTGAGTTATAATTTTGTTTTTGGAGAAAATTTGTAGGGATACATTATGGATAACTTTTCAAAAATTGATGTTGCATATTTTCTATGAGTAATATTGGTTAGAAAGGTTTAAATTCATACAAGAATGAATGTTGTTAACACTTATATTACAATTGGAATTATAAACTATGTTTTGATTCTATATTTATTGATAATCAAGTTATTTAATTAAATTTTGAATGTAACTGTAAAAGGTCATGACATGTGCACTTGTCCCCAACCTATCACATGAGGTTAATTTACTCCAGCATCTATGTAGATGTAGCCTACTTAAGTGCACTCTATAATGGACCCGAGAAAGGTTTTTAAACCTGCCTCTGCACCAAGAGCTGAAAAACGTTTGTACTTAACAATAAATACACAAACATATATAAAAATAATTTTATTGAAAAATTATACTTGGAAATTCATTGTGTGTGTGTGTGTATTCAAAATTATACTTAATGATCTAATTAAATCTATTTATATAATTACTGGAATCTGTCTGGTTTATTTTACCTCGCAAATTATGATATTATGGCATCAGAAAAATAATACGGTTTCATACTTTCTAAAGTCAATTGAGAAACCTAAACATTGGATATTTATTAGATGCAACTTCTGAAGAAAATTTATATTTGTGGAATTATACACCAATCTAGTGTTGGATCCTACAGTAATATTATGAACCATGGTGTCTATCCAAGCATTCATCTATCTCCTATTTGAAAAGCTGCACATGCAGGAAAAGCTCAACATTTACTTTTGAAATGATGGGAGAATAGGCGTGAATAATCTTGATGCTAAATTTTCTTTTGCAAGCAGAATATTCTACACTAAGTTGTTAGGAATTTATTACACTGTCATTCACATTTCAAAAAGTGACATAACTTAAAGAATAAAAGTGTAGATTTACCATACGTTATTGTTGAGTGGCTCTTAGTATCACTGAAATGCTTAACAATTACTTTTTGCAATGGG